TCGTTGCTTGTGCGTTCGTTTACCGAGAATCCTCTGGATGAGTTGTCGAGCTGTACCATCGGCGAGAACGACATCATGGGGCCTTGACATCCGAGTGGCGTCCTTGTAAGGCTTCAAAGATCCGGGGTTGAAGACTGGATGAAGTTTGTTTCCGGCTTGGATGTTGAGCTCGTACGCGTGATTATGGATCCTCTTCACCACCGTATAGGGACCTATCCACTTCGGACCAAGCTTGCTTGAGTTAGGTAACCCTGTATGTTTTCGATCCAAGTGTTTCGTACTAAAGTACACTCGGTCGCCAACGTCGAAGACTTGCTCCTCCCGGTTTCGGTCGTACACATCGCGCATTCGCTCTTGTGCTTCCGCTAGTGCTTCCTGACACCGCCGAAGAAGAGCTGCTTGTCGCTCGTTGAACTCAGCACAACGTCGACTTGTGGGAACCTTGCCACGATTCTCCGCCGCAAGTTGAAGCGAGTTTAGTGGGACGTACCCGAGATCAGCTTCGAAAGGCGTCATCTTGATACTACTGTTCACGGTTGAATTCACTGCGAACTCAGCGTTGGCAAGATGGATATCACAGTCGTCTTGAACAGGGCCCACGAAGCACCGCAAATATTCCTCAAGTGTCCTGTTCATCCGCTCCGTCTGGCCGTCTCCTTGAGCTCGATGTTCTACTGTCATCTTGAGCGTTGTTCCGATTGATTTGAAAACGTGCTGCCAAAACGTCGAAACGAACTTCCTGTCTCTGTCGGACACGATGCTTGTTGGCATTCCATGAAGTTTCTAGATATGGTCGATGAAGAGCCGGGCAACGCCTTCGGCGTCTACCTTCTTCGTAGTCGGTACAAAGTGACATCGCTTTGTCAGTCGGTCGACGACGACCCAAATGGAATCTACTTCTCGTTTTGTTCGTGGTAAGTCAGTGATGAAGTCCATCGAAATCGATCTCCACCGTTCGTCGGATACACGTAATGGTTCCAGCAGTCCCGGTGGCTTCGTTAGCCTCGGTTTGTTCCGTCTACAAGGCTCACAGTCGACAATGCACGATTGGATTGACTTCAACATCTTGGTCCAGTACCACCTCCTAGCCAGTGTCAGGTACGTCCGCTCCGATCCCGGATGTCCCCCGTAGTTGGAGTCGTGACACTCACTGATGACCACCTGCCTCAACTTCACATCATTGGGGCACTACGATACGTGGACTACCGTCGGATGGAGTCTGGTACCACAGCAAACCGTTGTCTTCCGAATAGCAGCGATACTGTTTCTTCTGTTGTCGCCTGGCTTTCGCCTGCTGGCTATCTGCACGCCGCTGGATTGCTGTAAAAATCGTTTTTGCTTCTCGATCTCTCTTGTACGCCTTTTTGATCTTGGCTATCAACTCGCTGTCAGTGGTCACCTCGCTGACTGCTAAACTGAAGGACGCATCATTGAAGCTGGTCACACATAAGTCATGAAAGTACTTCGTCTCCGGTTGCAAGTCTGGTCTTCGGCTAAGCGCGTCTGCGATTCCGTTCTTCGCACCTGGAAGGTATGAGAACGTTGGCTGATACTCCGCGAGGATATCGTACCAGCGCGCGAGACGACGGTTCGCCATCCTTTGAGTAAAGAGACCTTCAAGACTCTTGTGATCCGTTTCCACGATTGGTGGCTTGTCCAAGCAGTAAATACGGAAAGCTGCCAGCGCGTGAACAATTGCCAGGAGTTATTGCTGCTGCGTCGGGTAATTGAGTTCCGCTGATTTCATCTTTCTACTGGTGTAAGCAATGGGTAGCTCAACACCATCGACAACCTGGAACAGGACTCCCCCGACTGCAAACTTGCTAGCATCCGTACGCAAATGCATAGGCTGATTGAAATCGGGCAAGTGCAACACTGGTGGATTGCACAGCCGTTTCTTCAGCTCCTTAAAGTTCTTCGACTCCTCTTCGTCGAAACGAATCTTCGCATTGCGCTTGGACTTCTTCTTGAGCAAAGTAAACATACTTGCTGTCAGTTTCGCGTAGTCTGGGCAGAATCGTTGGACGTATCCAGTTAAGCCGAGGAAGCTGTGAAGCTCCTCTTGCGTTCTTGGAATTGGCCAGTCCTTGATGGTCTGCACCTTATCTGGATCCATCCGCACGCCGTTTCTCCCAACAAAATCTCCAAGGCATGGAATCTCGTCGGCACAGAAGACGCACTTGGACAGCTTCACGTATAACTTGTTGTCTCGCAAGATGTCCAACGTTTTGCGGAGAGCTTCCAAGTGATCTTCAATCTTCTGTGTCTTCGTGAAGATGTAGATGTCGTCGTAGAACGACTTCGTGTTCTCCAGATCGCGAAAGAGTTTCGACGTCAATCGATGCATCGTCGCTGGCGCGTTGCAGACTCCCATTGGCAGTACCAGGTACTCCCAGAGTCCGTTGGGCGCCTGTAATGCTGTGAACTTGATATGCATTCGAACTTGATAATACGCGGACATCAAGTCCATCGTTGAAAACCAGTACCCTCCGGCCATGGCGTCCAGTATGTCTTTTTTCCTTGTCATCGGTATGCTCTGCCGTATCGTATTAGAGTACAAGTACCGATAATCGTAAACAATCCGCCACCCAACTGGTTTCCGGACGCAGAAGGTTGGCGCCGCGTGTGGGCTGATGCTTGGTCGGATAAGTTTCTTCTTCCCCATGTCTATGACCCAGAGCACGATCTCACGTTGTTGCTCAGGTGACTGTCGCCACTGTTGCCGGTACATCGCAAGGTTGGGATCTTTCACGTCGATCCTGTGCTCGATTTCACGCTTCTCCGGAAGACCTTCAGGGAGTTCAGGTTGGAACACCGTGTCCTTGTACTTCGTCAGCAAGTCAAAGGCAGGGTTTGCCTGGAAACTTTGCCAGTCTGTCTCCAGATAACGTTGAGCTTTTGCAGTTCCGACATTGTCGGGCTGGTCTCGCCGCTCCAAGGATCGAGCGACGTTTTTGATCATTTCGTTCGTCAGAACCAACATGAAGTCTGGTTCTTCGATCGACTTGGTCTTGATTCTCAGGAACTTTCGCAGTTTCTTTCTCGTGATGAACTTGGTTTGTATATCAGCTTCATCTGTGATTCCCATCGTGAACATCTTTTCCACGACGGAATCTCTCCCCCTGGTATCGCTGCTCCCAGCAGCAGTACCGTCGCGTCTCGACGACTTCCTCTCGTCTTCGTCTGCTGAACCCTTGCCAGCTGACGCGTCTTCCCGTCGCTCGCAAGCAACTCGTGGGGTCCCACTCTGCTCTGAGTCGTGAACGGGATTGACCGCGGACTTCACACCCGTTTCCAGCGCGGCACCTCGACAGGAATCGGGTCTTTTCGCCGACAGGCCTTTCGCCCCGACAGATCTCCGAAGCCCGGAGGCAATCACCGGTCCGCTTTCCTCGATTGGCCCACAGGTTTCACCCGCTCGTTCCCAGCGCAAAGCTCTCTCTATTGTTCCTTCGATTTGTCGACGTCTCCAGTCGATCTGTAGTTGCATGTCCTCAAAGAAAGGTATTCCAAGGATGCAGTCAAGATCTTCAGGTATCGCGTAGACAACTGCGACGCATTCATACGCCTCGTCGATTCCGGCGACAAGGATACGTAGAGGTAGCACCTCTAGCTGGGCCTCCACAATCTGATTGTCTCCTAGCTTGACTCATATGTTATTGTCGCTGAACTTTGTTGTCTTCAGCTGGTGTTCTTCTACCCACCGCTTCGACACGTAGATCGTGGTTGCACCACAGTCTAGAAGCATCTTCGATGTTTTCTTCATCTTGCCAGCCACACTGATTTCACCGCCGACGGCGAACAGTGGACGTGACTTGTAGACTAGAGGGTTTTCACACAGAACATTAAGGCTGACATTATCAAACTTAACTGCTCCGGTTACTTTCTCTTCCACGACAGGACCCTCTTTCACTGTCGTGGCTTCTCGTTTCCCTGCTTCCCTTGCTCCTTCTTCCACGCAAAGCAGTTGGCTTTGATGTGGCCAGGTCTGTTGCAGAAGTGGCAGGTACGAGTCTCCTTGCTCTTCAAATTCGAGCTCGGTTTAAACCGTCCCTTTCCTCGGAGTGGTTTTCCTTTGAACGTTTTCTTGTTGTCTTGAGGTTGCTCATTAGAGGTCTTCGTCTTCTCATGACGAACCTTGCGCTCACTAGCGTCCTCCACAAAGTGAGTCACCTCAAGCTTGACAGCTAAGTCCATGGCGTTACTCAGTGTCTCAGGATTCTCGAGCTTCACGTAGCTTCGCGTGCGAGGCTTGAGACCGTTTGCGTAGAACAGGACTTGGTCAAGCACGCTCATGCCTTCGACTCGAAAGATGAGGGCTGAGTATTCACCGTTGTACGTCTCGATATCCGCTGTCTGCTTCAGACGCTGGAGCTTATCTCGTAGCACTGACTGGTAGTTCGACGCCTCGAAGTGTTGGAGCACATGCTCACGAAAATCCCCCACGTGTGCTCTTCCACTCGCGTCGTCGAAGCCCAGTGCAGGAACCACCCCAAAGCCGGTTTCTCCATCGCCGACCCGGCGATTCCTGGTATTCGTGGGTTCGCGTTGTCGATTGCGATTCCGTTAATGCGGCAGGCATTCTCGATCTTGAACAGCCATTCGCGCACGTCTTACCCCCTCTTGCCGGTGAACTTGGGCAGGTTGCTGGGTACTCGTGTGCGTTCCACCATCGCTTGATTCAGCCGGTCGATCTCGGCTTGAAGCTGCGCGTTCGTCGGCATGGGCTCTTTGTTGTCAGGTTGCTGGGACCAACAAGTGCTACCAGTTTATCGAAGTCAGGGGAGCTTGGGGGAGAGCGCGCCAAAAGAATAGTGCCGCCCCCGCAGCTCAGACGGATGGAAGCTTCTAGATGCTTCCACAGCCGTCCTACATCTGCCTGTTTATTAATTACAATACTATACATTCCATGGTACTACTAACAACCCATTGCAATAAGATAATAATATCACCCAATCGGATACACAGATTCACTAATGATACCACATCGTCGCTAGCCTTTAATTCCTGAGCCTGGTACGACGACAACGCACTGAAAATGACGTTTCTAGCGTAATCTTCCGGCATTGGTGGGTTTAGCCGACTACGCGCATTCACCGCCGTCGTCACCTTTACATCCTTGCCATGTCCACGCGCTTGAGATATTAGAGCCGTAAATAGCCCCGTGATGGCGTCAATAGTGCTCACATACGTTGGATTCCGACGTAGATTTAGACTCGCCACGAGTTGCTACGTGTTTGATCCTCTGCATCATACACGGAGTAAAATGGAAGCGATGCTGAGCGGTACACGGTGGTACCGGCGCTTCTACATTACCAGCAACAGCTGGGTGCACGTCGACGACTTGGAACTCTGGATGAGCCAATTTCGATGGCTCACCCGTTCCTTTAAGTAAAAAGCGATCGTGATTGCTCACTAAACGCTCCTGTTTCGGTACATCACTGTAATGCTGACCCCACGCCTTCATGAAGGTGAAGGTTCCCTCTCCATCGAGTAGTGTGTGGCTGGTATCCAATCCAATAACGAGCCCTCCATCTGACAAGAGCGTTCCTTTAATACAGATAAGTTCCGTCGAAGCTCTTGGAGTCGGCATTAACTCCCACGAAAGCGTCTTCATCGCTTCTTCTGTCGTCAATGAGCTGCTGAGATTCGTCTCAAAGCGGATACCGTGAGATCCTTTCTGTCTTGCTTCAGCTGTTTGCTTGACGCTCACGACACCAGTCTGACGGTCAATGTGTAGCTCACCGATGAGAATGGAATAGATTTCGTTTACAAGAGTGATGAAGGAGGTTTGCAGCTTATTGAGATCATAACCAGACGTCGACGAAGGGAACATATACAACAGCATAACTCCCAGTTTGTGCATCATTGCATCCAAAGGAGGAAGCGGCAGCAGAGTGTCATCGCACCCAGCTGCACCCTCAGCCGTCAACGGCAACGGCAGCTCTTCGCTTTGCGTCGGGCATCTCTGGACGTCGAGAGAAATGCTCAATGACAGAGTGTGAGCCTCACACTACGAGTATCGTCGTGTTGCTTTGATGGACGTAAACACGGCAAATCTTAACATCAATTCAACAATCTTCTGGCTACCGGTAGTCTAAAGCTGCACCGCAAGAGTCAATACCAGGGCCAACATTGCAGTACTCAACGCGAACTCTACGTTTGCGCCGTTATCGGTCTGTGCGCTGCTGGACCCAAGCGAGTTGTCGTCTGAAGCCACAGTCGAGTCGTACTTTGGGTCACATGTGTGTTGGATTGTGCATCGACGCCTGGCGCAGATTGAAGAAAGCTGGAACAGCACAGAAACCAGATCGTTATATGAGAGGGCAAAGGCCCGTGAGTGTTGGTCAATGCTCAGAAAGCAGAGCGACTGACACAAAGTAATTCAGTCTTCACATTTTCCCTTTGCAAACAAGGAGCTTGTTTGTTACTTCGCGGGGCGTGTCTAAGAGCCACAACTCCCAACAGGGTTATGAGCCCAAGTGGTGGCAGCGCAGGCATGAGTAAGCCGATGAAGTACACCAGCGAAGGGGTGCCGAAGAATTGGCAAGGCAAGGATTGGCAGACATACAAATGGGCCATGATGAACGTCTTCAAGGAGGATGACTTGAAGGACATTGCGGATGGAACTTTAACCAAGGACATGCTCTCCACAGCAAGTGCAGAGGTCCAGGAGAGGTTCAATAAGAAGCAAATCAAGATCATGCGGATGATTGGTACGTCTGTTCCGCCGGAAATTCTTCAGCAGATTCGCGACAAGGAGACCGGATCGGAAACGTGGGCAGAGCTCTGTAATCTGTTTGAAGGAAAGCAGAATGAAGCTATCAAGGCCTACACGATTCGTCGCTTGGAGAATGATCTCTGGGATAAGAAGCTCGCTTCTGGAGGAGATGCAAATCTCCATCTTTGCAAGATGTTCAGCATCAAATCGGAGTTGGTAGGCCTAACGCCAAACTAATGTAGAATAGATAACAAGGTGGGAATAGTGTGGCTGGAAAGTTTGCCGGATTTGACCGAGTTTGAATGTCTGAAATCTTCGATCCGCTATGGCGCGGACCCAAGTGTGTATACACCGGTACGGGTTCATGAATTAATTCTTGCAGCCGCTGCTCGACAGAAGGAATTCAGGGGCAAGCGTCAAGGAAAGCAAGGAGGACATAAAGGCGGAGGGGATAAAAGTGGTGATCCGGAAAAAGGCGGAAATGGTAATCAGCAGAACAAGTCAAGTGAACAGCGAAAAATTAGGCTGTGCTTTGTCTGCGGGAGTGATAGCCATATTAAGGCCAAGTGTCCTGAACGTGAAGAGAAGAACAGCGGTGCTGGAGACAGAGAAACCAAGCGAAAACCGCAGGGAAACTTGACGATCAGTCAAGAAAACAAGAGTGGTGCTGGGAGTAACAGTGAACCCAAGCGGAAACCACAAGGAAATCTGACACTCAGCCAAGAAGGCAATGGACTGTCACAGATAGTGCATGAACCTGCAGATCAAGGGATAGTGACGGGATTGATAACGGCTGAGGCTCATCATGAGCACGAGACTCTGTACGAGACTCAGGGAACAGGAGTAGATGAGAAGCTTCTGAATATTAATGATCAAGTACCTGTCGATGAAAACTTTAGCGATTGGTGGTACTTTGACACAGCTTCGAACTTTCACGTGGTCGGAGATCGCTCGTATTTTGTGAGCTACACTGAGGACGCGTCACAACTACGCAGCATTCGAGGTATTTCCCCAAACATTGCAGCTCGTATCGCTGGGGTGGGGACTGTTGCCTTAACTACTGAAGTGAATGGAGAGCAGACAGTGATGTGTCTGGACACTACTGGTTTCGTGTTTACGCTGGCAGGCGGAGCTGTAGCATGGATGTCACGAAGACAATCCGTCATCGCGTTGTCGACCGCGGAGGCGGAGTACATTGCAGCGTGTGAAGCCACAATGGAGGCAGTTGCTGGGAAAAATGTTTTGCAAGAGATTTTACCGCAGCACGAGGTGAAATTGCGTGTAGAAATTGACAGTCAAGCTGCTCACGTGATGGCAACTAATCCTACCTATAGCAGACGTACGCGTCACATTGAATTACGGTGGCATTACGTACGAGAGCAAGTGCAAAAAGGCACTGTGGAGTTGCATAAGGTGAAGGGGGTGACAAACCCGGCCGACACGTTCACCAAGCCTCTGGACAAGAAGCGACTGAAAGGATTGTTGCTGATTACAGGCATTGGAGCAGAAAAGTAGTCGAAGACCAGTATTCGACATCGAAGACCGATCTTCGAGAAGGGCGTGTTGGATTGTGCTTCGAGGCCTGGTGCAGATTGAAGAAAGCTGGAACAGCAAGGAAACCAGATCGTTATATGAAAGAGGGCAAAGGCCCGTGAGTGTTGGTCAATGCTCAGGAAGCAGAGCAACTGACACAAAGTAATTCAGTCTTCACATTTTCCCTTTGCAAACAAGGAGCTTGTTTGTTACTTCGCGGGGCGTGTCATGAGCCACAACTCCCAAGAATGTGCTCGACGAGTTTACTGTGGCGTTAAGGATGCTCTCGTAGTGGAAGCTAAAGGAAATATCCACTGGGCTGACGATCCATTCGCATTGATACCAACTACTACTCAGAGATTCGCGGTGCTTCTTGTGGTTGAAGTAGCACCGTGGTACGTCGTATCTGAGACGTCGAACGCGTCGGCCGCACGGGGAATCGCAGTCGGTGTTCACGTGGATATTGTAGGCACAAATGGACGCGTCCTTCACACACGACTCGTTCGCTGCTACAGTCATGTAGAAGGCCACCGTGTCTTCAATTTCCCTGCCGTGCAGTTGGGCTCTACCGTCGCCACGCCAGCTGTAGAACCTAAGAGATTATCGACGGAATCAGCGTAAATACTGATATTTGTAGCGTTGCTCAGCGTCTCGCAGTAGCTGAATTGTGTAGCGATATCTTGCTTCTTGTTGGTGTTTTCGTTCGATAATCGGTAGTAGCAGCTCGGTAAGGTATGAGCGAAATCTCGTACGGCTTGAGCACATGGAGAGGTGCACTCGGTGTCGATGATGATGCTGTATTGTTCCATGTTCGTGGAGCTGGCACACGTGCCATTGGCGGCTTCGTAGGAGGCGTTGAACGTGGCTTCAGCTTCTGCGCTCGTACAGTTGATTGTTGATGCTGTAGACGCGGGAGTAGGAGCTGGCGTGGCGCAAATATCGAGAGATCGAAGCAGTTGATCTTTCTCAGACGTTGAGAGTCCTGACGACGTGCAGTTCGGGATGGTGCTGGCTAGTTCGGTCATGGCGCCAACGCAGTCTGTTGCGGAACATGGAGGAGTGATGAGGATCAAGATGTTGGTGCTCGCGTAGCTGGAACACGCGCTCGTAGCTGCCGCTGCAGCGTACGCGTCCGTGATACTTTTATCTTCAGCGTCGGTGCATTCGACGGCGTTGATAGCGCCATCAAAGCAGCAAAGAATCCATAGCGAGAGGAAGAGCAGACGCATAAGAATGAACTGGTGGTAATAAGGGATAATCGAGAGTGGAGAGAAGACTCCACCTGTCTCCGAGCTATTAACCCTTTTATCTTCTGACGATATGGTCATGACGTGGGACCTGGACGAAGTGTATCGGCGTTGATGTGCTTGAAGTGTGCAAGTTGCGGGAGAGTTATAGTCGTGATTATACTGGGAATACCGAATATAATGAGGTATGGACGCGCTCACGGCTTTAATTCCACGGTACTGCGTAATGTCCTGTAACCTCAGTCAACATTCGTACAACATGCAGGTTGTTGCGCAACTCGGCTTGTTCACCAGCCTCAATGTGTCGTACATCATTCTAACGAGAAGATCACGAGCCAGATGATGGGTCTCGTCGCTAGTCAACACCTATAGATT